AGCAATAAAATGTAGAAAAAAGTGTCATTGCCCCAAAACTTATAAACCTAACTGTATGTTGAAAATGTTTTTGTGTGTCTATGTTTGTCCAGGAATGTCATAGGAATTGAGTTTTAGTAAAATAAATAATAAATTATGAATGAATATAAATAATATAAATAAGTCGCACAATCATCAATGCATAATACAGGGCCCAGGAACAGGAACATAAAAATAACTCCAACCAACAGAACCAAAAGCTGACCAATCAAACAAGACACAAGGAGGAACAACCACTAACAAATTATACAACAACAAACAATTACTTCAACTTAACAGTTATCAGACACAAAACTAACCGAATACTGAACTCAGAGAAACTGAAAGAAAACTTATTTAACCCTTAGATAATTCTGGGAACATTTCGTGCCACTCAGGGTTTTTTTTTTTTTTTTTTTTTTCATGCTATTTTGGCTGCCCAGGATGAATAAAGCTCACATTTGCCAGAGGATAACTGCTCCCTCAGTTCCTGAAATTAGCTTAAAATGGTTAAGCAACACAAAATTCTAAGCATCCAATATATACCTGCACACCATGCTACCAACTATGACGAAGAGCTGGCAGCTTTAAAATACATAATGATTTAAAGTAGAAGAAATTATTACTACACAGTATTTTTGCAGCAGTTTTCGGGAACCTGTCATTTTTTGTCGTTAGGATCAGGAGTGTCAGTTTGTTTTTGTTTTTTTAAAGAAAAAATAAATCAATGCTGTTACCAATTATTGACTGTGGAGCTATGTAAACATACTGGCCTTTAAACTATGGGTCTTTTAAAATGGAAAAAAAATTACCATAATTTTACTGCAGTTTTTGGAAGGTGGCATTTTTTTCCTTAGGGTAAAAAGAGTCCAGATTCTAAGGGTCATTTAAGGGTCAAGCTAAATTACATATTCATTTGATGATTTCTAATTATAGACAGTCATCAGAAAATCTAGGGGTAACCCAGGAGTGTGCTAAATTTGTGAAATCCTGCTTCCTAGTTCAGACCAACCTGCCTGCCTTGGTTTACCCTTGTCTCTGTGTCCTGAATCCAAACTGTAAGCAGGTTCCACAGAAGCTACCTCCCATTCAACCTTTAAATATCCTAGGAGACACCAGTAAACCAGCAGTTTGAGAGTGAAGAGCTCTATTGAGTTACTATTTGGTCATTAATTTAATATGAGGCCTGATTATTCAAGACCTTGTACGTGAGGAAAGGGAGTTTAGATTCGATTCTGGATTTAACAGGGAGCCAATGAAGAGAGCTAGAGAAAAAAATATTGGCAAAATATGCTTGTTCTTTACGCAGCATTTTGGATCAACTGAAGGCTTTTAAAGGAATCTTAGGACCGCCTGATAATAATGAATTACAGTAGTCTAGGATAGAAGTGATAAATGCATGAACTAGTTTTTCAGCATCACTCTGAGAAAGGATAATTCAAACTTTAGAGATGTTGCGCGAATGGAAGAAAGCAGTCCTATATTTGTTTAATATGTGCATTGAAGGACATATCCTGGTCAAAAATGACTGCAAGGTTCCTCACGGTGTTACTGGAGGCCAAGGTAATGCCATCCAGAGTACACATGTGATTAGATGCCGTATTTCTACAATTTTCAAGGCCGAGTACAATATTTGAATTTACAAGCAGGAAATTAGAGGTCATCCAGGTCTTTATGTCTTTAAGATATTTCTGCAGTTTAACTGATTGGTGTGTGTTCACCAATGGCTTCGTAGATATAAAAGCAGGGTATTATCTGCATAGCAATGAAAATGTATGCTATGCCTTCAAATGATACTGCCTAAGGGAAACATGTATAATCAGAATTGGTCCTTGCATGGAACCCTGTGGAACCCCATAATTAACCTTAGTGTGTGAAGAAGTCTCTCCATTTACATGAACAAACTCTATTGGATGGATATGATTCAAACCACTGCAGTGCAGTACCTGTAATACCCACAGCGTGCTCTAATCACTTTAATAGAATGTTATGGTCAACAGTATCGAACGCTGCACTGAGGTCTAGCAGGACAAGCACAGAGATGAGTCCACTGTCAGAGGCCATGAGAAGATAAATTGTAACTTTCACTACAGCTGTTTCTGTGCTGTGATGAGCTCTGAAACCTCAGTGAAACTCAGTAAAAGCAGTCCTCTGCAGATTATAAGTTAGCTGTTTTACGACTGCTGTTATAAGAATTTTTTAGATACAAGGAAGGTTGGAGATCGGCCTATAATCACTGAGGTTAAGATCAGAGACTGTAAATCACAAATTAAAAATTAAAGTTTAACCTTAAAAGGATTGGACTTGTACATGACAATGACCAATTTATTACATGAACTTAAACTTAACTAACTTGATATATATTACCTATGATTAACAATGAATTATTAATTAATCATGTTTCACAATTTTTAACCAATTGTTTGCCTGAAGTAGTTTTATAGAATAAAATATAAGAGGCAAGAGAAAAACTGGAAAGATTATACCTGACACACTGAATTAAATTTACCCACATTTTATAGAGATAGTAGTGCCATGTAGTTCATTCCATACATGTATATTTCCAGGGAAATTCTCTTTTAAAAGTCATATATAAAATGTAGCAACCAGCCAGTATTGCTGGTTCAGCTGTGATGAGCACAGAGCACTGTGTCCCTTTCTTTTCTTTAGTTTTTAAGGGTTTTTTTTTCATATTATGTTTTGCATTTTACTATATTAAATTATATGCTTGTTGTGCTTGTTTATATTCATAGTAGGGCTGCATGATTTTGCATAAAATGAGAATCATAAATATTTCTTGCACTTATTAACTGCACATCAACTTCGTAACAGTTGAAACTGAACATAAAAAAATGTTGTACTGCTTATAATCCCATCTCCACCGTTGCTCGACACTGCGTGTTTAGAGCAGGTAGTGCAACATTTTTTAAATAGTTGCCGGACGGCACTGTGTAGCGTTTGTCTAGGGCAGACCTTCCCAAAGTGTGGGGCCCGCCCCCTAGGGGGGGCGCAGAGCCATTGCAGGGGGGGGGCGCAGTATGAAAAGGGGGAGAAAATTCCCCCTGTCTAAATCACGGACCAACAGTATCCCACAGTTGTTTATGTTTTTGAACCCATTTTGCACAGAGAGACACTTTTTGAAAATGTATAGGGGCGATCATGGCTCAAGAGTTGGGAGTTCACCTTGTAATCGGAAGGTTGCCGGTTTGAGCCCTGGTTTGGACAGTCTCGGTTGTTGTGTCCTTGGGCAAGACACTTCACCCGTTGGCGCCAGCGTCCGGCAGCCTCGCCTCTGTCAGTGCGCCCCAGGGCAGCTGTGGCTACAATGTAGCTGCCATCACCAGTGTGTGAATGGGTGGATGACAGGTTGTGTAAAGCGCTTTGGGGTCCAGGGACTAGAAAAGCGCTATACAAATACAGGCCATTTACCATTTTTATTGATAGCAATGTTGAATATTGTTACACAGGAAAAAAAACAACTACAGGTAAAATAATCACAAGGTGACGCCTCTGGCTTTCTAAATAGAGGGACAGTAACTGCATGTGTGTATGTAAGCCTGTAAAAACTGAAGATAGTCAGATTAACAGAAACGGTATTTTGTCTCTATCTGCCATTCTGCAATTCATCTCATGTAAACAATAACGTGGCGCACAGCATGATGTGGAAAAAGGCACAAACCTTTGACGTTGCAACGAACTCTGTATTCCTCATCCACAGGTAAACGCAAAAAAGGAGTTTTGAAAAATCTCCGCTTTCGGTGATTCGAAACGCCGTTTACGTGGACGAAACAGCTGAGTTGTCAAAAATACTCATGTAGGTGTGGATGTAGCATAAAAGAATTATAAGTTTATTTTATTACTACCTGTAATTTATTGCAGATTACTTGTATTTGCTTAATTGTTTACTGAATGTTTGAGGTGTGAAATAAACCGAAATGGAGCAAAATAAGGGTGTGGTTGGAGGATGTGTTTGTGCGCGTGCACGCGCGGGAGGGGGGGCGCGGACATTTTTCTTGTAAAACAAAGGGGGCCCAGCAAAAAGTTTGGGAACCACTGGTCTAGGGTGTTGATCATTTTCCTAAATCCCTCGTTTTGAACAGTGTTATCTTCGGTCAGGTGATAAGTGATAACCTCCGTAATTTCTTTGCGCCTGCGGAAATTCGACAGGTATGGGGAAGCGCTGTATAAGGTTGTCAAAGGAGCTTGCAAAGAAAAGCGTCTGGACTTCTTTAAGTTGCTTGAAGACGTTTCACCTCTCATCCGAGAAGCTTCTCGGATGAAGACTGAGAACCTTCACAGACATGCTGTATAAGGTTCCCGTTATTGATGTTTGGGTGGTTGACCGGGACGGATTTTCTCCTGTCACTTTCTTGGCCTTTACAGCTTCGTTATCTCTCACGTGCTCTCCGTTGTTTTTTCCCTGCCAGCTGACTTCTGTATCACGTGGTATAAGCCTCCGCCCTTGTCATTTGTTGAGTCATTTGTTGTTTGAAGAGTGGGCGCTTGTTTTCATGCAGCTTATGTCCCGGAAGAAAATCCGGTACATACGTCATCTTTTTTTTTTCTTTTTTTTTTAATCGTTGTCATTTCGAAATGAGTATGGATTGAGATCGCAATTTTCTAACGATTAATTGTGCAGCCCTAATTCATAGGTTGTGTTCAATGTTTATTTCTGTTGTAATTTGACATTAATTAAGGCATCTTATCTTATTATATTATCTTATCTTATCTTATCTTATCTTATCTTATCTTATCTTATCTTATCTTATCTGATTATTAAATAATTACTTCATGCTTTAGGAGCTGGACTGTAGTGCGACCACGCACTCTGGGCACTTCTGTATATGAGCACTGTAGGCACACAGCTAGTTTTTGTGTTTTCTTCACTGCAGTGTGCCTACATTTCCCATCGAACCCTTCGGTAGGACGAAAGTGACTACACTTTTTGTTTTTTTTTCAACCAGCCCTTCGTTTCTGTCAGGGGTGTGGGCGCTGCTGTGCTGCTTCCTCGTCAGGTCTACCTGGAAATATGCGGCTATTCGCTCTGAGACGACTCACACGGGTAACTGTAATATATTTCTGTGCTATTTTGCCCCTGAGGTAATGTTTCTTACTGCTGCTTAAGTAAACTGTAGTGTTTATATTTAATAAATAGAAATGCTCAGCAATAAACCGCTGGCTGTTTTCTGTCTGCCCTTTATGCACTGCATTCATGGAAACTTGAGGTTGCCAGAGGTTAAGTTTGGTGAATGCAGCTGGGTCCACGTGATGATGCCACAGCGACTGCCACAGCTTACAAGCATAAAAAGTGAATTCATTATTATTATTTTTTAAGTGTAAATTAATAATGGTTGCACAAGAACCTTCATTAAAGATAACATGATATTCAGTCCAAATACTTGGAACCGGGATGTGTTATCATGCTGCGTGTTATACTTGTATTTGTATGTTTTTGTGCTAGCTCGACAGATGATCACTTTGTAAAAAAAAAAAAAAAAGACTGGATGAAATCATACTGAACTGTGTACTGTCTACCTTTGGATTAAAACATACTCTTATAAAGTAAGTATATAAAACAAGTGAGGTTTTAAAAATTAAAAAAGAAGGACAACAACTCATTAGGAAGTCAAACTTTGTTGCAAACCAGATTTGGCTTTGTTTTTATTTATTCTGGAGTATTAGATTCATATCAGCATGCTTTAAAAATGAAAAAACAAAAAAACCCAACCAAAACAGTGTATTTAAAGTTTGTGTGGCAAGTCGGAACTGTTGGGACCTAACAATTATATCTACGCATGAAAAACGATCTCTCATATAAGTTAAGCTCTAATGACCTAGCTTTGTAAAGTTTTGTTTGCATGGGAAAAAGTGCTGGAAAAAGTGGAGAAGAAGTGGCATGGTTAGGTTGGAGTCAGGTACAGTTTAATGCAAATGCAGTTAATGTAAGTACAGTCTTAGATTATTTAGTCTGATAATAAATAACTGTAAATATTTTAGATGTTTATTGATTGCCATTCCTGCTGACAAAGGGTTTATAGAATAGAATAGAATTCAACTTTATTGTCATTGCACATGCACAGGTACAGGGCAACGAAATGCAGTTTGCATCCATCCAGAAGTGCTTTAGTGATATAGATATATTACAATATATATTAGCAATAATATAGATATGTGAGTATATTACAGAAATGGGTCTATTATGGTATGTTATAATGTACACGGTATGAAGTATGTTGTGAATATTCTATAACTATAAGTATGTACAGGCTGTAGTGAGTACAAGCTATGTACAGGCTATGAACAGGATATAAAACATGAAATTAAAAAAAACTATACAGAAATCTGAGATATACAGTTATACAGAAATGGGAACTATGCAAGTTATAAACAGTTGTAGGATTAAAAAGTTATCGTATGTACAGAATGATTATTTACACAGAGTATGAAGTCAAGTAAAGCCCTGATTCTGAAATATTAGGATGCCAAAAAATACCAAAGAGTGCCTCATTGTGTGATAGGAGTTACATGACATGTGAGAACTTGCCTGTGGATTGCTTAACAACATTCGTCACCAATGAATTTACAAGGAAACAAAGCTACAGCTGCTGTTCGCTGTAAATGTTAGTTACATTTAGAAAACTCATGATCTGAAGTACAGTTGGATTATTGAAGAATGTGTTTAACAATTTCAAATGGCTCTTAAATACATGCAGTAATTTTGCAGGCAAACATCTTCCATTAGATTGTGCTTAAATCCTAATATTTAGTTACTTTTGGATTAGTCGATTATTCTGATTTCTTCTCTCCTGCCTCCTAGGCACCAGGACCACTCCTATTACTTCCTATCACGTCTCCCCCAGACATAAAAGAGGATGTTACCCGGATTTGCACATTGGCATCAAACCTTGTTTCTGGGTATAATAAGGACAGGCACACTCCAGATTGAGCTTTTTAAAAAAAACACAACATTTTCCCAAATTTAAATGATCACATCTTTGAAAGAGCAACCTGTGAGTGACAGATATGGAATTTGAATTTTATAATTAACATTATTTTCAGATTTGATTTTCATCAGTTCAGTTTTTTTGCAAAGTGAGACGTGAGGTGTAGAGACAATAATAAGATTGTTTGTGAAAACATTGGAGAGTGCTGCTGTTCGCACAGACTGTAGAGTGAATCGTGTACATCAAACTTTTTTTTATAACCAATGGTTTTTGTGAGAGCTAGAGGTCATGTTGAACTAAACATAGCTCAAACATCTAAACTTTTTGGGTTTGCTTTGCTGAACACTTGAAAATTTTTAGTTGTCAGTAAGAGATGTGGCCTCCTACAGATTTACTGATATGGCCGAAGGCCTTTAACAACTTGACCAGTAGGAAGGTCATCCTATCAGTGATGTAACCAAGAAACTGACATCAATTTACCAAAAGAAACTTTAAGAAAAAACATTCTTTGTAAACTCTAGAGACATTTGTGTGGGAAAATCCCATTGGATCAGCAGTTTCTGAAACACTCAGACGAGCCCATCTTGCACCAACAACCAAGCCAAGCTCAAAGTCATTTAAATCACCTTTCTGCCTCGTTCTGGTGCTCAGTTTGAACTTCAGCATGTTGTGTTGATTGTAAATGGTAAATGGCCTGTATTTGTATAGCGCTTTCCTTAGTCCCTAAGGACCCCAAAGCGCTTTACACTACATTCAGTCTTTCACCCATTCACACACACATTCACACACTGGTGATGGCAGCTACATTGTAGCCACAGCTGCCCTGGGCGCACTGACTCCCATTCACTAAACATATATGTTTAGTCAGGTCTACTACAATTGCAATACAACCTTTTTTTAATTTATTTGTATTTATTTTGAATTAACTGAAGAAAACATTTTAAAGTTGACATTCTCTCCTTGTAATTTCGGTAGAATCACAACTAGTGCATAGCTTTTCATTTTGACAGATTTACATTAATCGGATTATGTTGTTGGACAGGATTAGCTGCATTGATAAGGTCCAAAGTAGCTTTTAGCTGTCCAAAAAATGATTTAAAAGATTTAAAAGCTAGGATGACTTGAACAAAAACATATTTCACACTGTAGACCTGATAGAGTTTATGAGCGGGGTTTCATGGACGAAAGGCTTTGAGCCAGCCTTGAACCCAAAAGTGTTAGCATCCACAGCATGTGTCTGAAGCACTAGGAAACCATCTTTAAGAAGTGCAGTGCAAAGATTACAGTATAAATGTGCCGTTCCACTGCCTACGCCTCCTGAAGATTGCCTTTGTTGCCAGTATCGCTTAAGTCTCTGATTGTCACCCTGACAATCCTTTGATCCGAATGGAGTGTAGTCGTCTTGACTGTGCCTCTGTCCCTTTACGCCTCCTCACCCCGTCCAGATTTTAGTCTAGATTTCCAGTCTAGTGTCATCCAGAGTGTATCACAGGGCAATTTGTAATGGGCAGCCCTGCTATTAGTCAGTGACAGAGGAAGAGGCAACGCTGTGTCAAACTGACGGATGCTGCTGCGCTGTTGACACTTCTTCTCTGCAACCTTAAATATCTGTTGTGTTCTTCTGTGGGCTCACCCAGGACTGCAGCTATCGATTAGTTTAGTGATCGAGGATCGATTATTCTCTGAGTTAATTACATGATCGAATAAGAAACACTTCTGTTTTGTTGATGAGCTATAGTAAATATTAAGAAAAGGAAAAAAAAGACAGCTCTTTTGGGAATGAACTGCTCATTGGTTTCCATTTTATTTTGATAATTCAACTGCATACAGCATGTGGCCTAAAAAAGCTAAACACTGTCACTGAAGTTATATATTTTAAATAAAATATTTCCTAAATGCATAAATGACTAAATTATCGTAAGTACAGTAATGTCCTAAAATGTCCTAAAATGAGGCTTACATACAACCTGAACTAAGAGGTCAAATAAAATAACCTTATCCTGTCTTTTTGGAAGACTTCCTTACATTAGTCAAAGGCAAAACAAAGAGTTCTGACAGTGCTTTATTTCCTAGATATGTACATAGATTTTTTTTATTTATTTTCTTTTTTTTGGGGGGGGGGGGGGGGGGGGGGGACTTGTGCGTGTGTCCAATCCAATCCAATTTATTTATAAAGCACTTTAAAATACCCAGCACAGGAACAAAGTGCTGTATAGAAAATAAGTTAAAACAATAGAATAACGGAAAACAGCAAAATAAATAAATAAAACAGAAAACATACAATTAAAACAGCCCTATGTTAAAACCAAAACAAGATAAAACAGCATCGAATCACCTAAAAACAACTAAAATAAAAATAAAAACCAACATCTCACGTGGTGTCAAAGGCCAGGGTAAAGAGGTGGGTTTTCAAGAGTGACTTAAAAACAGATAAAGAAGTGGCCTGTCTAATCTCTAAAGGAAGCTCGTTCCACAGTTTTGGAGCTGCTCCAGCAAAAGCACGATCTCCTCTAAGTTTACGCCCAGTCCTGGGTATCTTCAGGAGCAGCTGATCAGCTGACCTGAGAGAGCGGGTGGGTGTATAAGGCTGTAGCAGCTCATGGAGATAAGATGGAGCTAGGCCATGGAGAGCTTTAAAAGTAAATAAAAGAATTTAAAAATGAATCCTAAAAGAAATGGGCAGCCAGTGAAGTGAAGCTAAAACAGGGGAAATGTGCTCAAACTTTCGAGTGCCAGTTAAAAGACGAGCTGCGGCATTTTGCACCCTCTGTAGATGACTAATATATGATGCACTGACCCCAATATAAAGTGCATTACAGTAATCCAGCCGAGTGCTAACAAAGGTGTGGATCACTGTCTCAAAGTGCTGCCGTGAAAGAATTGGCTTTATTTTTGCCAGCTGAAAGAAGCTAGATTTTACCACTGCCTTAATTTGATTGTTAAACTTCAGATCACAGTCCACTTTGACCCCCAGGTTTGTGACAGTTGGCTTAACATACTGGGCCAGGGAATCTACATACACATTGGGGGTCTCAGTGGGGCTACCAAAAACCATCACCTTTTTATCATTGAATTTTAGACATCCAAGCCTTAATGTCATCGAGACACTGAAGTAATGGCTGTGTAAGGTATCTGTGTTTTTTCTTTAGAGGGACATAGATCTGACAGTCATCAGCATAAAAGTGGAAAGCAATGCCGTGCTTTCTCAGTACAGAACCAAGAGGAAGCAGATATAAAGAGAAGAGGAGGGGGCCTAGAACTGAGCCCTGTGGGACACCACACAAGAGGGGAGCGGAGGACGACACATAGTCACCGAGGCTGACACAAAAAGTTCGCCCCGCCAAGTAGGACCTGAACCACTCCAGTGCTGTGCCCCTAATGCCCACCCAGTGCTCCAAATGAGAGAATAAAATGGCATAATCCACGGTATCAAACACAGCTGTCAAATCTAAAAGCACAAGAACAACACAGTCCCCAGCATCAGTCGCTAAAAATATGTCATTAAAAACTTTTAAAAGGGCTGATTCAGTGCTATGAAAGGGTTTAAAACCAGATTGGAAAACCTCTAACACATTTTGCTTTTCCAGGAAGGTCATTATTTGGCTGTAAACTACCTTTTCAAGAATTTTGGAAAGAAAAGGTAGTTTGGAGATAGGCCAGCTAATTTGCAAGGTTTTTTAATCAGGGGTTTGACTACTGCATGTTTAAAATCTTTAGGGACAACACCTGACATCAGACTATGGTTTACCAGTTCAAGAACCAAAGGACCAACTGTAGGTAACACCTCTTTTAAAAGTCGAGGAGGGACAGCATCATTTGGAGACCCTGTAGGCTTAAGATGACCAACAGTCTCCTTTAAAAAGGACAGAGTCACAGGCTCAAACCTGTCAAAGACAGCAGAGCAGGAAACAGAGACTGAGAGGTCATGAGCACAAGGAGAGATTTGAGCCCTTGTGGAGGAGACCTTCTCAATAAAAAAGTGTAAAAAATTTTCACAGGCTTCTGATGAGGGCTCGATACAGTCAGTATATGGTGCATTAAGAACAGAGTTAATAGTTTTAAATAAAACACGCGGGTTGTGACAGTTTGACAAAATAATGTCAGATAAGTGTTTTCTTTTGGCATCTTTTACAGTTCTTTGATATCGACGCCAACAGTCCTTCAGCATCTGGAATGACACTTGTAGTTTGTCCTTTTTCCACTTGCGCTCAGCTCGACGGCAGTCGCGCCTGACAGCTTGGGTCATGTCGTTCAGCCAGGGCTCAGATTTAGTTTTAGGCAGTCTGGTGTGTCTGAGTTATTAAATGTTGTAATGAATAAAGGAGAAGGTGTGGTGTTAAGCCTTTAGAGGAACAAGCTGTAGCTGGAATGAAGTGAGGAAATCAGCATTGTCTGAGGTTTGCACTATGCTTCAATGCAACGTTTCCTGCTGCGGAAAGCAGACATTCTGATGGTGTAGATTTTAATAATTCATGTTTATAATTATTCAGCGTCAAACAGCACTGGGTCAGTGACTTCTGCTAGCTTATGTATATTTTTACTGGCCTGCGGGTTGAAAAAAGGTTTTATTTTTATATTTTTAAATATTAATATAATTTAATCAATATAAAAGCAAAGTAATGTTACTAAAGCTTTGAAATAAATATGATCTAGTACATCCCATGCCCTCCTTTAAACTCACCCCTGTTCGCTGAGTATATCACTGCAATAGAAAAATGGGATGGATAGATAGATAGATAGTTATTCCAACACCAACACAAGGATATCAGATCGTGCGCACAGTGATCAGTTCTTATTTAGTGTTTGGTTTGTGCAAAAACTACTGCTTAGTTGTCCCCGCCCCCTTTGTCCTCCTGTTTCCCCTCTGCCTCCCCTCCAGCGAGGAGTTAAAGAGTTTAATGGCGTGTGGGACAAAGGAGTTTTTAAGTCTGTTGGTCCCAGACTTCTCTGGTTATTAGTGACCAACATTGTCAATAATGTCTTGCAGTTTTTTGCTGCGGTGGATAGGAGCAGCTACAAAAACTTTTTTTCAACATACTGGATCCTGTAAAACAGGTTGTTTGATGCAGGACTCCTCCCCGGGTTTTTAACAGAAATGCTTTTAATGGTGATTACAGTATCGGGTTCTGCTTCTCAGTACGGCTCCGCCTCTTTGTTCTTCGACGTGTGTGTGTGTGTGTGTGTGTGGACAAACTCTACATTAAACTACAACAGCGTCATCTTCACTGCTACTGTTGTGTTATCAGTTTTTTGTTGGAAAACCCAGGGCAAAAAATTTGCGTTGAGGATTTTTTTTTTTATAATCGAATCGTTGCAACCTACTTTCACCACTCTAATCCCATGTGTGTGTGTGTGTTAGTGTGTGTTTTTCTGGGTTGATTGTTGTTTGGTATAGCTGCTGATGGACAGCAGTCATCTGTAAAATTGACTCTCCTCAGGAGCTGCTTCAGGAAACGGGCAAAAACAATACAGAAGTAGGATTAATGAAATGATTTTCTTCCTTCCCTTTTCTTCTGTTTCGCAATTGTACTTTGAGCACAGATGTTTGACAGGGAAGGCAGAATGCCAACAATTACCTTATCATTGTCACGCAGATGTAGTGCATCTGTGACTCTGTCATTATTTTGTGCTCAGCACCCAGGTTGACGCGGCCTATCCCGCCCCTTTTCTCACAGCAGAGTTTTCATCAAGTTCACCTTCAAACGACAGCGTAATCTGTCGCCTAAAAATAGTCCCGCTGTGACATATTTGGTGCTTGTATCTTGGCTCTCGCTTCTCTTGGATCAGTTTGTTTTGTGTTTATTAATTAATCTCCCATAATGATCAAGGCTGAGAAATGAAGCAGGGAAACAGAAAGAAACACAACAGGGAGTAACCTGTCTTTTGGCTGTTTAAGCTCAGAGCTTTCCCATTTGGACACTGTGAAATTCACATCGATGACAAGAGGAACTAACAAAAATGCCACACAAATGTTACTTGGTTGAGAGTGCTTAGCGGCGTAGGGTGACAGGATAGTGCGGGGAAAGGATGAAGGTGAAGAGGAGAAAGGAGAGGCAGCCTTGTCTGTTTTTCAGTCTTCAGTAACCTTGTAGCCACTCAGTTTGGGTTTTTTCTGCCACTGCGTTTCCTGGCGTTGGTGTGCCACAGTCGAAAAAGAGACAGCAAAGGACAGTTCCCGTCAAGGTTTAATGACCCGTGTGATTTTTTTTTGGCGAGAAATGTGTCCTCAGAGGCAGCTCGACCTGTCTCCCAGGCCCTGTCTTTTCCAGGATCCTGGGGAGGGAAATCTCCACCATCATAAATGCTACTGGTGACAGAAGGCCAGGGTAGAGACTATTATAAATCAGTCATTAGTGTGCCAGTTGGCTCCCCTGGCGTGTCACCGTTGTCTCTTTTGCCACACTGGGGAGCAGAGGAAGAAGTAGACAACCACAATGAAGGTGATAAACTATCTTTAGGGTATTTTATTTTATTTTTTAAAGAGTGTATTGAATTATACTATAGCTAGACCTCTTTATGTTGTAGAGATTATTTAGAATGAGAATATACATATATCTTAAAGCCTGTGAAAAACAACACTGGTAAATATTATAAAGCCATTTCAAATGAGTAAAAAGCCAAACTTAATTCACACTGCATGGAATAAGCATAATTACACGTTTTTCATATGGGTGTCCTTAAAGAGTCCTAAGTATTGTGTTAATTGCTTTTTAATGGCGCTATTAAAAGGAGGCTGTCCCTCACGCCCCAGCACACCTGTACAGATGATAACTATAGGTTTGTAGTGGGGCGATTGATCTCAGCACAGAGTCATCATCATCATATTGCTGATTAAATGAAGAGAATGAGCCAGTTTGTTTTGAGTGCAATCAACCTGTCAACATTTTATTTAACCTTACAGCTCTCCCACACAGTGCTTCTTTTTTGATTGAGAGTTATAATGGGAATCCACTTAAATAGAACACAAACCTTTTTTTGTGTGTATTCAGAGGTTTTCTGATGGTCCAAGCACCGTGTCGGTGGTGTGTCATACTAACAAAGAAAAGTGGGATCAGGATTCACTTTAGAAAAGAGCCAGTGAAAATTGTATGGAGTCTGCACTCTCACACGATCAAGCATTGCAGCAGAGGAAGAACTCGCCAGCCCCAGTCCAGATTAGATAAGCAGGAAGTGCTGAATCTGTTCTCTGTATGCCTCCTTCTGGTACACTGAGGCTGTAAAAGTCGGTCCCAGTTTATAGAAGTGCTGATAGAGGCATAATTGAACAACCATGCTGATTATTGATATCACGAAAACACGCCAGCTTCTAATTATACCAGGCTGCATTAGAGTGTAAGGGAAGCGCAGTAGTTGAAAGGAGGCAAATGTCTCCTAATTTGTACAGGACAAATTAGAATCACACTTTAAATATATGAAATGATCAAATAAAGACTAGAGAATTGATGTTCTTTGTAATAGGACAGCTAGCAGCAGCATGGTGACCAAAAACTGACAAATGTCCATGAAAATTCAGCAACTTTAGGAGATGACAGGGACTTTAACTGCACCATGATCTGTGGCTACCAAGTCAAACTAATTTGATTTCTCAACTTTGAGATGATAAGCTTTCAGCAGGCTACAAAGAGAACGACATGATTAGGTGGGAAATATACAATAGTTGTACCTGGAAATCCAATACAACCATCTGTTAGCTGCAGGATGATAGACACAATCTCACACTCTGGCAACTCATGACCCAGTTTGGTGCAATGACACAGTTTTAGAAAACATTTCTACTGTAACTGCGATATCTGTGTAAAGCTGACAAACTCTAAATCAAACCTTTTCCTTTCTGTATTTTCTTTCCTCATATTCCCAACTCGTCTTCCACCCACAGCCGCTGTGCCAGCGAGTCCCTGTTTGTCTCAGTGCACGTGCCCACCAGTCTCACGCTGCCACCCGTGCAGCGGATGAAGATCGTCCTTGGACGGGTCAGGAGAGCCTGGCTCAGGATGACCCCGAGATGTGGGATCTGCTGCAGAAGGAGAAGGACAGGCAGTGCCGTGGTTTGGAGCTCATTGCATCTGAGGTACTAGGAGCCAGATTAAGTGGCGCAAAATAGCATGTGAGCGCAATCTCCAAATTTCGCTTGTGGTTGCAGTTAGTTTTCCAATCATAGACATGAGTTTGTTTAAATATCAAGTGTGAAAAAATATCATTCAACATCAGCGCAACTGGCAGTAAATTGCATGTGGCAAACATTAGTAAATCAGTTTGTTCTCTGAGAAAGGAACTCTCAGAAATGTAAATGCAGCAGGGTCAGTTGCAAAAATCTCTGAGTTCCCATCTCTTACACACTGTAATCTCTTTGTAAATATGAAAGAATTTTTGTTTATACTAAAACCCAGTTTGAACTGGTGCAACTTGCTAGTAAATCTATATAGAAACCTACATTGAAAGTCAGAATACGTCAGCGCACACCTTTTATGTTAATCTATAAATGGTTTTGTTTCCTCTCGTCATTTTGATTGAAGCGGATGGTTATTTGAAATATATAACTAATGATTACCACCTTAAAACACTCAGTTGAGAATAGGCGCTTGAATTTTTCACAGTCCTTTAAAACTGTTGTCACGGAGTTGTAAGGCGACAGACTCACTTGTTTAAAAAAAACGTATTTTTAAAAGGGTTTAGTCAGTCAGACACTCGTTCCACTTTTTTGTATTGATTCAATTGTCTTTCTTTTTTTAAGCAAAGATGGTCAATGTAAGCAGTTATTCGGTGTCTCTCCCTGACATGCTAGCAGTGCAACTGTCTGAGAATAACTAATCCCCTCTCATTAATGAATGAATGCGCCGACTTTGGGATATTTATTATAGTTATTCTACATGTTACTGCTGGCTGGAAAAGTGAGGGAAAAGCCTTTGAGGTCTTGTGATAGATGTGCACACCAAATCCAACACATGATCGTGGGTATAGCATTTGAAATTCACACTCTGCCAAGTTATTTATTCTTGAATCCTCTTGCTGTCTGCATTAATGTTGTATACCTCCAAATGTCCTGTTTTAAATATTTCCATTGGCCTTTGAGGCTTCTAAAACTGAACTTTTGTCTCACACATACAGCTCATAAACTGATGTCATGATCTCTGACAGGAATAAATTCATATCAAGCTTCCTGTTAATTCATTATTCACTCACTGAGGAACTGTACACAGTAGGCTGGAAGTCATTCAAACTCAACTTCTTTAATAGTAAAAACACTTACAAGAAACTCTGCTTGTTGTAAGCGAGACTAGCTCAGTTATCAGAAAGATTTGGGCAGCTCTTTGTTTTCATTCCAAGGCTGGATGGTGTGAAATGAAAAATTTTACTATTCAGAAGAGCAGACAAGGTTTTATTTTCTGCTGTTCCTTCTCTCTCCTCCTGTTCCTTCTTCGCCACAGTAGTTGTTCAGTGGAGTATGTCAGCCCCCTCTCAACACAAAGCCTGACCACTCTAGTGTGAGATAAAGCTGATGTCTTCATTCTGCCTCCTCCCCAGCTCACTCTGCAAGTCACATCACAGTACAGCTCAGACAGACATTCCTCCGATGAGAAGACGTACAGTTTTGCACACACACACACACACACACACACACACACACACACACACACACACACACACACACACACACACACACACACACACACACACACACTGACACTAAGAAGCAAATGCGTTTCCTTTCTAATATATGCACAGTAGTTGGCATGACAGACGGATGCAGTAGAAAGCTGTTACTGGAGCTGTTATCTGCCTTGATCTCCTCTTGGCTCACAGGTGAAGCATTTGCATAACAACACACCACGACCACCACCCCACTCAGAGAGGCAGCATTCAGACTTTATTTGTCTGTGTTCATTTTATGTCAGATGCTGTTACTGACCAGTGTGACGATATACAAGAGAGACATGTTACACAGTCGGGGCTGCATCACTCAGATTTTAAGATTTTGGTCAAGCTCTACTGTATTGCAGTAATTGCAGATTTAAAAAAAGGCAAAGGAATGCATCTACTAACATCATCAGTCAATGAGTCCAGCCAATAAATTTCATCTTGAGCAAACTGAAAAGATACAAAGGAAACAGTATGCTTTTTTTCCTCTAACAATAATGACTAAAATTTGTTTCTCAGTGCGTCTCAACGATCCTGATGTAATTCAGCATGTGTAGAAACATTTATTGCATTATCTTGTATCCTCCAGCTGCAAGGGGATAATCATTGGAAAGTGCAGAGTGTTAGTCTATGGAAGTCCAGAGGTTCAATACTGTAATGATTGCCTCTTGCCGGAGGGGGATTTCTCACTATCACTTAACAGACTTTAATTTGCTGTCCTTGTCCCTTCTGTCTACTCGTGCCATTGATCTGTGTGTGTCCGCCTGTGTGTTCTCATTGCAGAATTTCTGCAGCCGAGCAGCTCAGGAAGTTCTCGGCTCCTGTCTTACCAACAAATATTCACGCAACCCTGTCATAAAGTACGTTTTTATTCAGCCACACCTCTGTTTGTTTTCACTATTAATATTATGTGCTTGAGGATATTTGTTACAGACGTGCACAAACACACACCGATCTATACTGTGTAGTCTTGTTTACCCATGATAGTAATTTCTTACCAGGTACATAATCCACAGCCTCTGCCTTTCCAAAGAAAATTCCTGAGGGGTTATATTTGAAGAATTTAGTGCCGGGCTGATAGTTGCATGTTTTCTATTTTCAGTTTAGTTCTGTTATTTCCTTCAGATAAGTCGCATTTATCAGCAGCAACCAGAAAGATGACATGTTTTGAAATTCATCTCATTTGATGCCTTTGATTCCTGGAATACAATCCTACCACAAATCTCTCTCCCACTGACTGTGTTTTTAATTTTTGTTTTTTTCCCTCCCGACATCCCACTCATCTGTTGTTTTTTTCTCCCACTTTTAATGTAATGTAACAAAAGGATGATCTCATTGAATGAGTGGTTTGTAAAGTAGCCATCTGTTGCACCTTCATCTGTAATTCCACTGAAAAGGTTTGATTTTCACCAGAGATGCCTCACATCTGCTGTGGAAGTTTTGGGTCTAGGTTGGTGTAGATCTTTCTTGACTAAATTTACTGTTTGTGGAAAATGTGTGAAAATATGTTAAAGGGGCCGTAGTCTAAACAGTTTTACAGCGATGTACCAAATGACAATGCAAAATTAGTGCTTTACTTAGAGGGTTTGCTTGTACTGATGACTCTAGACTATGGAGAACATTTGTGTCCATAATGTATACCTGTCATAGTGTTGGTTTTTACCAATATGTCCTACCTGCTCAATCCCAAGCAACAGACAAATAGATGGCAAGTAGCTGGTGATTGCTGTTGGCTATATAGGCAGTTCCCATCAGGGGCTGGCTGTAACAAAAATAGATTTAATGGACTGAACAGACTGGTATAGCTAATCTGATGAATGATAATTTCATTTTGTATTTGCATGGAATGCAGTTAACAGTAGTTCACCACACTGGCTTGTCCGTTGTGTTCACGGCATTGTTCTGCTGGCCAGAAATGAACTATCCCTGGTTTAAGGGACCAACGACATAGTGAATACAGATAAAGCATGTCATCAATGTTCCCTCTAATTTTCCATGTGTCTGAGCGAACACACAAACTCTCTGAGCGGTCCCTTGGACCACTGTGAGCGACATCAGACGTGTGCACTGTGGTCCCACCAGCATTGAATCCATCCAAGTTACATGGTTTATTAAGATAATCAAATTACAGCATTTATATTTATGTTAGTGTCAGGGACCAAGCAGTAAAGCATAAAGGACACCGGTGGTTTTAATTCAAAAAACGGGTTTTATTGACCCAAAAATATGAAAATATATTTAACAATAGTGATGGGACGTTCTGTATCGAGGCTTCGGAGCGTGTGTCGAGTAATGGAGGGGGCGTTTCCGCGAAGCGCGTATCGAGGCTTGCTTCATTTATGGGAGGAGCTGAAAATGATGACGTCCGAAGCCTCGCTGCCCGGCTGTACCACGTGACTGGTTCATGAAGCGGTTCGAACTTTGCCGCAAATAATCATTTTCCATACTGCCAGCATAAATATACACAGTATACTGCCATCACTACAATATACATGTTTTACACACTCCTTTTGTTGTTGACATTTACAGGCTGTGTGCAAAATGCCACACTCTTCAAATTCATGCCAGCTATTATTTTTACGTCCAGTAGGTGTCCTGCTAGAGCAAATGAAGCTTCATGAAGCTTCGCGTTGGGGTGAACCAATTGGATGAAAAGCTCCAGTGCTTCATGGGGCTTCATCTGCCCATCACTATTTAACAAAGCCAAAACTTAAACAGGCAGACCAATAAAAGAGGTCAACTCAACAGACTAAACTCAAGATAATAATTAACAAAACCTCAAACAAACATATGGTAAACTGACCTGCTGAAATGACACACAGGGGACTTAAATACTGGTTTAGCTAAACCAAATGACACACACGGGGGAAAACAAGATGGCTGCCATATAACCAACTAATACAAAACATTTAAACAAACATGAAACACCCCCCAGGCAATGAAGCATGTGGTGCAATCCAATTAGGCTGTCAGCAGTACTTCAGGTCTCCCAGCCCTTTGCCACACCTTTTGCCAGACAGGAGGAGACACCAACCCCCAGGTAACTCAAACAAAGAAAGATGTATTAATATAACAAAACAGAACTTTGACCTTGCAAGGTTAATATGTGTGCACTCCATATAAACATTGGAAGGTGTGATGGAAAAATGAATACATTTAATAAAGAAACGATATTGAACAATAAATAGAATATTTTAAAGTAGTGACTGTAAATTAAACTAAAGTGAATCAACGGGTGATGAGGTGTGGAGCTTACCATGTGTGGCATGCCATCACAGTTAGACTACTTTTAATTAACTGCTTTAGCCCACTTACAATGAAAATGTAAAACAAAAATGTAGTCATTGACCTGTGTAGTTTGTTAACACTATTGGGAGTAAAAATAACTTGAATTCCAATTTTGAAAACATATCTTTCTTCTTTTTTCTTTTTTTTTATAAAGCTCTGACTTGTATTATGAGTCTGTGGTCTGGGAGAGAGTCCTGTAACTCTCTGACTGCAAAATACAGTATATAATGACCAATGTTGGACAATTAATTATATAGTTACTTTTTAAAAAAAGTATCTCAGTTTGGCAAACAAAGTTTTTTGCAGCTATTTTTTTTAAATGCAGCCAAGGCGTTTTTTTTAATAAACATTTCAAACTATTTACAGAACAATCAGCTGTTCTGCATCAAATTTAATGCAATACAAATATTTTTGGAGTGCCACTCCAAAAATTATTTCTTTCCACTATGAGATAAAGGAGAACATCAGCCTGCAGGCTGTACTTTTTTCGACCAATAGGAAAGGGTGGGGGCGTTTTTGGTTTTGTTTTTGCTCACAGGCAGAGCGTTTTTTCTTATAGAACGTTTCTTCCCGCAGTAAATATAAACAACAATAGTATTCAGGAAGAAAACCAAGCATTTCATATATTTTTATCATAACTCTGGTTTTACGTGGCCGATCAACACAATTTAAAAACTGGTATAAAGTCCACACTTTTTCCATCAATTGTTCCGTCTGTCCTGCTCACATCTCCAATGGTTGTACACGTTGTCATTAACGTGGCTTCACTCCACATCAGCCACGCCGCTTTGCTAGCTAAAACACCGGTGTTGGCACATAAGGACGCTGTCATAGCCTGTCAACCACGTTGATTAGCTGCGTATATACGAATGTGAATCGCATCATTTGCTGGATTATGGGATAAGGTGGCATCGTTCTAATCCCATACAGGAGCAGCCAGTCACTCACTGACTAACACTGCAAAACAGAATTGTTGAAATTTTAATTTTAATTTCAATTCAGGTTAGATTTTTTTTGTGCGCAACGAAGATTTTCTGTGCACAGAGACCGTGTCAGCAGTGCGCAATTGCGCACGTGCGCAGCTTAGAGGGAACATCGCATGTCATGCATGTGAACTCAGCTTGCACTTAGTTCTTTTCCCATCCTCAAGCACTCGTCTTTGTACCAGGAAGTCACAATGACATACCAATAGTACACGGACATTAGATGAATTGAAACAAATTTTCCATTACAGGTCTCATGGTGGAGGAGGAGTGGTTGACCAAATTGAGCTGCTCTGTCAGAAGCGAGCTCTGGAGGCCTTTGACCTGGATCCAGCTCTGTGGGGCGTCAACGTCGAACTGTACTCTGGCTCTCCTGCCAACTTTGCCACTTTCACCGCTGTACTCAATCCCCACGATCGTATCATGGGCCTGGACGTATCTGATGGTGGACAGTTAGTATTCACTGTTGCTTTAATTTCATTGTTGGTCCTGTTTTTTCTTCATCCACACACTTTTAAAGCCACCCAAGTTGTTGGTCAACTGTAGTGTGTTACTGCCCTGTTTTAGTTTCCTACAAATCTGATATTCATATTGAATAAAATTTTGTGAAAAGGTTTACAAACAGAGTCTTTGAACTTCCATGTTTTATTCTTTATGTATATATTGTTTTTTCTCACTCCAGTCTGTCTCACGGCTACATGTCTGATGTGAAAAGAATCTCTGCAACCTCAATCTACTTTGAGACAATGCCTTACAAGCTAAATGTAAGTAGAAAAACCTTCTACTAATATCTACTGACACCTGTTGATTAGGGCTGTTTGATAGGATGATACATATGGGATGATATGAATATACATATCGGATATGAAAACATCGTTTCATATTATGCTATCGTTTGTTTTGTGGTGTCGCAAAATAAGCTGTTTACGGCAATATTTTTTCATCGTTTTGATGGTCACTGTAGTGGCGATTTAAAATAACCACACTATGGACGGACAAGCGACTGTTTTTACACGTACTTTCATTAGCAACGGTAAAATCATTGTGTGGTTCCGCCGTCTGCTTGTTTATTTTCTACATAAACCTTTCACAATAAAGCTCAACTTTTCAAAATACAGTGAAATGATATACATTATTCTCAAACATCAAATTTCAGAATATGCGTCAAACAAATTACCTGAAATAAAAACATAAGGTAACTATAAATGGTGCTTACAGTCACCACGTGGATGCGGGCACAGAGAATGCCAACATGGCCAGTGAAGATGAGGCAGAACCAGGTAGCTCCAAACAGAAGGACCAGTCAAAACAAATCGAGGACCTTATTCCTAAACGAGGGGCTACCTCTGTAGCATGGACAGGGTTTGGTTATGAAAAGTCTGACACGGACCAGAAAACACAGAGCAGGCAAACCTCTTCAACCACCTACGCAAGAATCACGTGAACGAGTATGGAGAGAGTTAACGGATGAGAAGCAAAAAAGAGCCATCAGGTGTTCAAAATACACCTTAGACTCAAACATTAGAACAGGCTTTTCCCCACAGCACACCGTGTAATAAATACAAAGAAAATGACAGCCAGTACAAGTTATGTCTAAAAATGTATAGTTTAATGCATCAGTCAAAACACTCAACTCCAGGTACACGACGCCCAGCTGAAAACACTTTACACAGGTCGAGTTCCCCGAGATTCACAGAATTTACAGAAAATGCACTATTTTGTGATATATATTGTTATTGGGATAAGAAATGTCATATCGGGATATGACATTTTGATCATATCGCACAGCCCTACTATTTATACCAGTGTAGTACGATTCGCTTTTTGGAGGTAGAGTATGAAAACTGGGAGATATACTGATGTATTTTTGATGTCTTACGAATGTCAGTGTGAGAAGGCTTCCAAAAGCCAATAAGCCAGCAAATGTTAAGACAGTCAAGCTTTCAGTATGTTAGAGTTAGATGTAAACACATTGCACAAGGCCGACACACGCAGCTTTTTTGCTAGTTCTTCTTATAATAGAATTTAAACTTAAAAATAATAATGTAATAATGACTACTGCCACATTACAGTAAATGTATACTGAGCAATAAGCCATGTCTTAGATTGCTGTCATAATATTGGCAGTTATGCTGACAGTGTTGGTCAGCTTGTGTTCATCAAATGTGAACACCTGGGATAACTAAACTATATTTGAATCTTTTTACAGTGTTACTCTTTTTGTTTAAAATCATTAACTTATTCATTGAAAGAAACACAAAACAACAGCAAGAAATGTAAAGACAATAATAGCCTTTTAGAAAATCCTGTTTGTTTCCCTGCCCCAGAGGGAAGACATGAGGCAGTGTGGCTAGGGATTTAGTGTCTAACTTCACAAAACTTAAACGCAACAGACACTTGCTGGCAGCTGTTTGCTGACACAGGGAAGTTCGCAAGTTTATAGTCAATATACGGCGACCATGTAGTCTTACTGCTATACTTGTAACACATTCAAAGTATTTTCCACCTGCACCAGCATCTGTTAAGTTAGGTTGCATCAGATTTAACAAGTGATTTTTTAAAATTAACATAAAGTTTTGATCACTCGACTATATTTAGTGTAGAATATTTTATTTCTGGGGTCATAGTTGCAGTATTGGTAGCAGCTGATGGATGGTCATGAGAGTCTGTGTGTCCAGACCTGCTGATGTATGGGCAAGCAGGACCCCTCTGTGAGAAAGATAATGGGAAATCGACAAGCTGGCCAGCACTACTGGCTCTGTCTTCACAATGAGCAGGTTGATGGAGTGAGGGGGCATCCATAGATGTGCTCTGGAGATGGGAGATTATCAGGCTGTCTAAATAAAGCTTTCCTTCCTCCTTTTCTCTCTTCTTTTTCGTGTCTCTGTCTGCCTTATTCACCATTGTTTTTGTCCCTCACTTTGTTTTTCGGCTGCATTCTGGTGTCTTTCACTGCTTCTCTTTTCTGATGCTTAAAGGTGGACTAGAGGGGCAAAACTTCACTATGAGGCATCAGACATATCGGTCACTGGACAGGGTGAGCCTGGCTCCATTTCATGTGACTTCAAATTGCATTTACTGGAAAAAATGGATTGTCTAATGTGTTTCTTACATTGTTCATTTTAATAAAAGGGGGCAGAGAGAGTCTCGAAACCAACCTGAATCTGTTCAGGTTCATTGCACCAGCATAGCAGGTCCCTGAATGGTTAAATTAGGATAAGTAGGGGTGCATTACTGCAATTGCTCCATCTTCTTCCATGATATGATAGGTATAAATGCCTCCTTTAGATAAATTCCTTCCCCTTTTAAGGTAGCCAAAGTACTTCAAATACAGCTGCTTCGAATGAGCTTCAAATGGAAAAAATCTCTCTTCCGTGTAGATATGTTTGCTCTTGATACTCAGATATCTGACAGTTTTTTGATCTTTACATATTCCTTTTTTCTCCTGACCCTTACATTCCCTCTAATATTCTCACATTCTTCTTCCACTTTCTCTTTATTCTTTCACACTCTTCCTTTATCTTCTCTGTTTCCTCAATCTGTCTCCCTTTCTGCAGATTGCAACAGGACTTATAGACTACGACCAGATGGAGATGACGGCCAAGCTGTTCCGGCCCAAGCTCATCATCGCTGGCACCAGTGCCTATGCCCGGCTCATTGACTATGCCCGCATCAAGAAGGTGCACGGAGAACTCTCTGCATTCACAGCTCACCCCATGTTCACCCCGTCTTTTTCCGTTCTTTGCATTGTAATGCCAAACACACCAGCTTCCCATACCGACAGGTCACATCTCGCCAGCATTACTTCAAACCGTGTCTTTGCTAATTTCGTCCGACAGAAATGGAGACTCGTCTGCTCTAAATAAAGAGCATTCACTTTGAAGCTTCAACATTTTCCAAACACACTAATTTCAGGGTCATTACACACTTTACACACAGCTGCTTTCTTCTTCTGTTGACTACTCAACTCACACTGAGTCACAAGTACTCAGTAGCAACTTTTAACCACACACTTCACTGTTCTCTTTGACGGTGCACAAGAGGCCCCTTTATCTGTTTTGTTATACCCACCCGCTGATTCACTTCATTCACTCCATGACTGTTTCCCTTTGTTGCAGAGCTCCACTTTAGCTAGTACCATCAGATGGAGTGTCCCACCATTACAGAGCTGTGTTTTTATTAAGCACCATAACTACTTTGCCACTAGGCCTGAAGAGGGGCCATATTTTCCCCCTGGCATGTCTCTGTGCAACTGTTCTCTGTTTTATGGCCGAATCTGTTAGGCAGACTTCACATTTTAGGCGGGGGTGAGCTACCTAGATTGTAGAGTTGTTCATTTTTTGTGTGTTTTTTTTTTTTCTTTTACTATCGGTATTCATCAACTGCCGCGCTTCACCCTCTTGTGTTCTTTACCCTCTTTCCTTTTAATCTAATAAACGTGCAGATCCAGTTCAGATATGAGAGGAAGAGAGATTGTCACGATAATGCATATTAATTGGAGCACTAAAAAGATTGTTTACTGCTCTGATCATTCGCCAGCGAGTCATTTGCATGTTAGCGAGCTATTTATTGTTTGTGCCTTTTTCAATAAATGCTGGCAAGAGACAGCAAGGATTTATTGAATTGCGTTATAATATTTCAGGCCTCTGAAGACTGCTGAAGGATGTAATTACACCAGCTCTCATTTGAAATGTCTTTCCTTAGAGAACATGGGTACCGTTAACAGATGGAGTTAGTCCTCAAATCTTAACTGTGGGGGGGTAAATGTAAATGTAGTGCCAAGACATTGTATCTGAAAAACATTTTATATGCATACACAATGTAATTTATCTATATTTGAGCAGTGTCAAAAACTCACTAAAGCTGAAGTGCTAAGTTTGAGCTTTATCAGGGCTTGGGTGTCTTCATTAAATCACTTATTTTTGGAAAAGACGTAACCGCCTGGCAGAGTCCACGGTGAGTTTAGGGGTCATATTTAATATGTCTGCAGTAAAGTCCAACTGAGCACTGTGAGCAGAGAACTTTACAGATGGCAGAGATCAGTAGGAATTTAAAAATATTAATTGAAAGGAGCTGCAGTGAGCTTATCATAAGAGCAAATCATAAGTGTTTACAATTTTTAAACATGGTGAGCACTGATTTGTTCCAAAACATAAAAAGTAAACCCCAGGAAGACCCCCCCCCCCAAAAAAAAAAAAAAGGCCCATGAAAGAAATGCTAAGTAAGATTTCGCTAAGTAACAGAAGCTAGTGGAACAGAGGCTTGTCCAGATGGGACATCATAGCTTCGGCTCTCTTTTGAACTTTTTTTCTGAACTCAGGACTGTGTCACCTTAAAGCAGGGGACAGTGTCTAAGAAAGGCCAAAAACCTTACACTGCAAATCTAATCCAGATGGAAAAGAGAAGGTATTTTCACCTCATAGTTTTCAGGCTAATCCTGGAGGCTCAGTGATTTTAATTTAAAGTCTTTGTGAAGCACAGGGAACTGCACCCGATTCAGGATACTTTATTAATGCTTAAGGAAATTGTCTTAAAAAAGGACTTGGATAGTTAGCTATAGATGATTTTCTCAGTATTATTGTAGGGTCTTTGCCTAATAATATAAACATTCAAGATTCAAAGCGTTTATTGTCGTGTACAAAGTAAGCATTTCTCTGTACAATGAAATTCTGTCTCTGCTGTCCACAAACAGATGCTGGTTAATATGTACATTAGAACTAGAACACATAAAGCACAAATAGTATAAATAAATAAATGGAGACAAGAAATTGAAGTATTAAATAGATTTGTGTGCATTGAGGCCACTGGTTTAATTTGGGCTGTATAAATAAAACTGAATGGAATTTCACATTTTATGTTAGTTTTTGTTTTAAACATTTCACCCATTAAAGTATAAAAAGTTCAATTTTAAAAAATGTAAAATCCATGGATGAAACTTTACAGTCAGTTCGACCATTCAGACATTTTACACAGCAAATCGCCAAAACTGTTTTCAGTAAGCAGTTCTTCACTCATCCATTTCAATCTAATCTAATAAATAGATCAAATTAAAAAGAAAATTCAATACAGAAAATAATACAAGCACACAAGCTTCTTCATAGATACCAAACCGCATGTGAAGGTTATTTCTGAGACTGGTAGAACTTTATTTTTTATTTAGCCTGTTGTTTGCTGGGTCGTTACTTCTACAGACCTCGGTTTGATTTTTGAGCATGTCCTTCATTTTATTTGTTAGGTTGAAATTTAATATTTTGATTTATTCTTTAGACTCTTTAAACTCTTATATTGTGCAAGAGTCTTGAGTGCCCCATAATTTCTCTACATTTCGCATAAGACATGCCAGATCTTCTCCTAGTTTTCTTTTATGAAGGTGTTTCAAAGTTGTTCTTTGGACATTGGCTGTGTTTGAACGTTGTTTCAAACGAAATAATTGGACCAGTTTTAACTTCATAGATGTGCGTGGGTGTGTAACTTATCAGCTGTTTGGGCCTGGTCTTTGGGAATATGAACAGACAAAGCAATCTCATGGTGCCTTCCCAAAAACGGGGCATATACTACTATGTGAATTCCATAAATTTAAGGTTTTCCTACTTCATAATCAGTTTTTGTTGTTTCTGTTATAGCTCATCACTCATCCAATTGACTCCTTGGATGAGTGATTAATGTTTCTCTCACTGAAAACGCTACATCCAGATGAACAGAATCAACTTTTTGGGATTTACTTACCTGGCACGAATCAAGAGCTTGTTTAAATTTAAAATTGACTATTACATTGATTTAGTAACTGAAAGGTTGGAAACCTTTTGGGGGACCAGCACTGTATCTGTTGTTGCATTCGGAGTGTCCATTTCACAGTGCAGTATTATAAAAGGAGTCAGACACATGTGAGGTACAAGTATTAACGGCAGGCAACTTTTTGCTTTAACTACTGCCAAAGCAACCGTGCATAACTATGATCATTACTGCAATGAATGTTTGTTTATTTCCAAAGCCAATGCATACAGTATTTGGCATGCGCAGATTGCCTCTACATGTGCAGTAGATGCAAGGGCAGTACCAAAGCTTTGGTTCCCTCTCCTGCAGTTCAGAAGTGTTTCATTGAGTCCGAAAAATTTAGAACAGAGCCCAACATATTTCTGTCATATTTCATAGTGGCACATACATTGTTTTTGCTATCATGGTGCTCTCATGGTCCTTTGATATCACATCTAAAAAACACTCTTCTCTGACAGGACCAACCTACTATTAATTTGCGTTTAAATTTCGAGTTACTAAGTGCTTCCTTTGTAACATTCACACACGCATTCATACACCAATGGAGTATTCATACTCTGATCGTAGAAAACATGGAGGTTAGTATCTTGCCCAACTGGAGCAGACCTGGGATCGAACCACCAACCTTCCGGTTAGTAGGTGAAACTTTATTAGGTAAAACTTTGTTATTTTTGTTATTTTCACAGTAGAGGGTGTGCAAATATTAAGGGTATAACTATTGCACTGTGTATTAGATGGAGGAGTTGTAAAGTGAGACTGATTCCCTGTGTCTTTCAGTGGTGCATTTGGGTGATCTTAGTCTCTCACTTAACACTGCTCCTGTGACTGGTCAGCACAGATGAGTGGGCGGGAGGTATTGCCCAGCATTGTCCTTACTTTCAACAAAATTCGGCTCTCCGACACCACCTTAAGGGAGTCCAGCTCCATCCCCACAACATTATTGTCCTTTCAGATCAGTTTATTGAATTTGTTGGCATCTGCGACCCTCAACCTGCTGCCCCACCATGCAACAGCATAGAGGATGGCAGCAGCCACAACAGACATAGAAAATTCTGAGCATTTCTGACAGATCTTCAAAGACGTCAGCCGCCTCAGAAAATACAGACGACTCTGGCCCTTCTTGTAGAGCGCAGTGGTGTTTTTAACCCAATCCAGTTTATTGTCGGTGTGTACTCTCAGGTATTTATAGTTCTCCACAATTATCACATCGACCTCCAGTATTGAAACAGGGGTCACATGTTTCCTGATCCTCATAAAGTCCACAATCAATTCTTTGGTCTTTGTCATATTGATCTTGTATTGAAAAAAAAATGGAACTTTCCTGCCACATGTGTATACATGTTGGTCTTAATTTTATAACTGTTTCCTCATCCTGCCTCTTTTTCTTCCAGCTGTGCACCAACATCAATGCCTACCTGCTTGCTGACATGGCTCATATTAGTGGCCTGGTGGCAGCCAAAGCCATCCCCTCGCCCTTTGAACATGCTGACCTGGTCACCTCCACCACGCACAAGTCCCTCCGTGGAGCAAGGTAAGGTCAAACTGTAAGAGACACGGGTGGGAACAAAAATCAAATTACTGAGAAGCAAACCTGGTTTGGTTTTTAGAGAATAGTAAAAGTGCTTCATCAGTAAAAGATTCTGTTCTGTCCAGGGCTGGTCTCATCTTCTATCGGAAGGGTGTTCGCTCAGTTGACAAAAAGGGAAAGGAAATCATGTACGACCTCGAGGACAGGGTCAACTTTTCCGTCTTCCCCTCCCTGCAGGGTGGACCTCATAACCATGCCATTGGTGCTGTAGCAGTGGCACTCAGACAGGTCTGCACAACCTTAAGAACATGTTGCATAAACTTCAGTCAGCAGAGGGGAAGTAATCTGTTCTGTCACAAGATGCATATAACATTAGTTTTTGTTAATAAAACTCTAGACATGATGCAGTTACATCATACAGTTTCTTGATGTCTGTATCTATTTTTGATAGCCAAATGATAAACTTACTGTATGGTTTTGGTTCTGTGTGTCCAGGCACAGTCTCCCCTGTTTAAGGAGTATGTTGACCAGGTGCTAAAGAATGCCAAGGCTATGGCTGCAGCTCTTCTCAGCAAAGGCTACACTCTGGTATCAGGTAATCTAGTGTGTATTTACTCAATTCTTTATTTTCCAAGTCACAGACTCAGCACAGAGCATTTAACACTGAAAATTCACATAAAATGTCCTGTAACAAAATGCAAATTACACAGCAAGAAAAAAAGCACAAATCCATTTAAATTCATGATGTGCAAATAGGCTAATGTCACTGCGCCTGCCTTGTCAGTCAAGAAAATAAAATCAGATGAAAGTGGTCACTTTGCGGTTGTGAGCAAATGCTTGAATCTTGTACTGAATCCAATACGCTGGCCTCAGCTGTTTTTTGATGTATAGCCTTCAATTGATACTCTAAAAATACAGACTTGTCCTGTGCTTACTCTGCAGTACATACACCCTTCTTTAATCCCTTAGTAAATGTTTTAGCCAAATAACTGGAAAGAGTGAAAGACCGTACCAGTAAAACACAAATTCAGTGCTTTTACAAACCCTATACAAATGTTGGTTGACTTAGTTTCAACTGTTAAAGACAATTCCTGTCTGACTTTCCTGATTAAGTTCCCTTCAGGTGAAAAACTATCACAGAGACTAATAATATCGTATCTTATAACGTTTGGATGACTCTTAAAACCTTTGTAAACTGGAAGTGGAATCTAATTAGTTAACATCTCCCAGTTGCATTTTCTCAGTACAAAGCTAGAATAAGTTCATACGATCTAATTACTAGGAGGTACACTGTACAACTACCTTCCATAGTCTCAGCTAATGGAGAGCGTCATTACCAAAGTGGGAAGAGGCCTAAAATGTTCTTGTTCCACCACAGGTTATAAATAATGCTGTCAGTTCCTAAATGTTGTCTAATTAGCAGCAATCTTCAGACATAATGTGTGCTTAAGAAAACAAACAAGCAAAAAAAAGAAAAAAGAAAACGCAGTCCAGAACACGCTTGGCCTGTGATTTACTCTATCCCATTAATCTCCTCACTGTCATTCTCTTTGGGGGTGATTTTTGAGATTTATGTTGTAGAGTTCTCTATTTTAATGGTCAGCCATCTTGAAAATTGAACTCTGTACATTATGAACTTGTAAATGATAATTCCAGAGTAGTAGAATTACACACAGTTGCACATGGGCTACTCTGATAGATTTTCATAATGTTTAACTATTAAATGAAGTGCTGTGGAGAGCTGCCTTTGTATAGTTGATGTAAGGAGCACCAAGATAAAAAAGCATCAGTATAAAAGTCATCTTGTCCATAACCAACAAATTTGTGAACTAATGAGCAAATCCTGCAGCCCAGGCAAGGTAAACTAGCTGACAGGTTGTGTAATGACTTATCCATGTTTTTAAAGAAAGCAACATTATCAGGTACTTCCATTGATACTCTGAACACATAATTATCCACTCATGTCCCAAAATCAGCAATTTAGTGAGTCCTCACTTAAAAAAAAGAAAGAAAACAAAAGGAAAACAAAAAACTGCCTCACACAGTCATCCAGCAGCTCGGATTATTGTGGGTTTTTTGGTTTATTATGTCTAGAATAAAGATATTTATAATACCTTTGGTGGTTGTCACTATTATTGGTTAGACTTTTACGTGTCCTGCTTAAAAAAGTGCATTTTGACGGCCTGTATTCCAGGAACATGTGCATTTACTCTTGTGGAAGCTAACGGGGATCTAAATAAATGATCTATTTGTCTCCTTCACACTTAAATCTTATTAAATGAACAAAATCTAATTTGGCTTTTTTGGTTTCAGCGTTGTGAAATGTATAAATAGCATGAATCAGATAAGCACATAAAAGAGGAGAAAATGTCAAGCAGTACTCCTTCTTAAGCTAAATCTAATATCTGTGTTTCATACATTGGTGTGACAAGGTGCTGTGATCAAATGCTTCACAGCGAGGTTTGTGTGTCTACAAAACAACATGCTTCTGTCCTCATTAAAAATTCCAGGTGGGACCGACACCCACCTGGTCCTCGTGGACCTGCGGCCCAGGGGTGTTGACGGGGCTCGGACTGAGAGGTTACTTGAGCTTGCGTCAATCTCCACCAATAAGACTACCTGCCCTGGAGACAAGAGCGCCCTGGCGCCTGGTGGCCTCAGACTAGGTAAGAAGCAGCTTCACATCACACTGTGTTTGGCCGAACACACACCAGGGGTGTTGTGAAACCATGCGCTTCCCTGTATATTCATTTTGAATGTTAAAAGAAACCGATCAGTTGTCCAGCAATGTTATAAAGTTTTTTTTGTCAGATTTATTTTACATTCACCACCTTCTTCAATTAATCTGTGTTGCTTTTTTAAAAATGTAGTTCTGCAAATGGAAATTAGTCAGCCACAAATTAAGCCACAAGCACTGAGCTGTTCATGATTAATTAAACTTGTTTGGCTTTTTAATCATCTTTCAGGAAGTTCAAGAGCTTCTCATCTACACTCCCTCATTTTTAGCATTATCTTAAGGCAATATTTCGTACCTGTAATCCAATGCACTGCACTTATTACTTTCTCTTTTGTCCTGCACTGTGGCAGCCATTAGTATTTGTGTAGTCGAATCTGTATAGATTAATTACTGACCTTTTAAGAAGCTCCAAGTCTATACAATTTTTAAAAACTATATGGCAAAATTAGCAGAAAAAAAGCAAGAACAAGAATTTAAAAAACGTAAAACTGGAAAAGTACAAAAGGAAGTATATAGTTCATAGTCTATTTCAACCTGAGTGATGTGTTCTTCTCTGTCAGGTGCTCCAGCCCTGACCTCGAGACAGTTCAAAGAAGCTGACTTTGTGCAAGTTGTCGAGTTCATGGATGAGGGTTTCAAGATTGCCTTGGATGTCACGAAAAAGACAGGTGAGCCTGCTGTGAGGAGGGGGGCAGATTAATCTGTAGCTCAGGGGATGCCTAAAACATGCTGAAATTCTTTTTACCAAAGCACAGTTTGAAACTGTTCATTATTAACTGTAATAGCATTAGTGAATTTATAAAGTCAAATATAGTGCACGGTCTTTAAAATTGCTGCATGAGAGAAGACAAAATGCCCAGTGGTAGTGAAACAGAGGAAGCTAAGAATAAACATCTGAGCATTTCTCTTTTCTGTTGTTGTTTGCAGGAAAGCTCCAGGACTTCAAGAACTTCCTTCTTCAGGACCCAGAAACGGTGGCTCGCATCGCAGATCTGCGCCACCGTGTTGAAGCTTTTGCCAGGCCCTTTCCCATGCCAGGGTTCTCCGACCATTAGCCCACTGTGGACTCACGGGTCTATCACAGCCAGATGGCAGAGAGCCGGCAGGGCAGAAGTGTGGATGGAGTGAAATGTGGCTGGAGCCTGTGAACTGAAATGGCTTGAGTTCGCTTTTTCAATCATAAATGGGAAATAATTTTTTATACTGCTTTGCAGTCACGAGTCATCTGTTTGGGTAAAAACATAGCTTCCATGTTGAGTTAAAGAAACAATCAAATGTGACAGATTTTCTAGAGCAGAACAACATATTTTCTATTGTGTGTGTGTGAAGATTTTCTTCTTCATATCATTTTGTAATAAAAATGTGTGTGGAAGAAATAATTAGCAAAAGTCGGTGTCATAGTGTCTGTGATCTCAATGAAAAAGAAAAATCATACTGGATATGTTTACTCACAGTCACCTACTAACTGGAAGGTTGGTGTTTCGATCCCTATCTGCTCCAGTGTGCATGCCAAATATTTTTGGCTGGGCAGGCTTTTGCAAGATACGAACACCAAATTGCTCTCTATCAGAGTATGAATGCGTGTGAATGTTAAATAGAAAGAGCATAGAAAAAAAAAGTGCTATATAAGATCCAGTCAGTTTACCATTTACCCTTTAATGTGTGTACCTGCTCTCATCACTGAAAAGCACAAGGCTAGTGACAATTCTGGTATTCTATGGCGAATGCTAAAAGGTGCCAGGTAATACGCACAGGGCGCACTGGAGGATGTCAGGCCCCAGCCACCTTCATGAAGTCTGTCTCTTAATCTTTGGTCAGAGACATTCACACTAGTGGCCTGCTGGAGGCCCTTTCTGTTCTCATGTGCTCATTCTGCTCCTACACAGTGCACATGGTTTCAACAAATGCGAATAAACTGTCTACATCACAACTCAGTCAAAACATATTTTACTATAGTGTTCAGAAGTCTCTGATTTTTTTTTTTTAACTGACAACTGCTGGTTTGAACCAATCTTTTTCATGTTTGTGTTCATTTTAGTAGTGCCATTCTAATAAACCCCAGTAATGAAAGTATGGTCTGTGTTGTGTAATTCTGTTATATTGTTATGTTTAACGTATTTGCAGAGGATTAAAACAGAAATCTTAAGCTTTGAAAAACTAATTTAGTCAAAATATATAGAAAAAAAATGTGAATGCATGCATCTATTTGATATTGACATAACATTGTTGGTGGCATTTACCTGGCAGAGTTTGCAGATGAAAGTTTCCTAAACAGTACAGATTTTCTACAGCTCCACTTACATGCATACTCATATAATTACACTTGAATTTTTTAATTTCATGATACCTCATTTCTGGTTTTCAAGAAGAAAACTTTTTACAAACCGTTTTACAAAAAAGTGTTGGTTTATAAAATAAGTATGAAAAAGTTTTTCCTTATAACATTTTTTTGCAGTTTGGTTGGTTTTCCACAAGTCAGCCTGTTACACTCACTGGCCATTTGGTTGGTACACCTCACAGTAATATTTCTTCAGGACAAACCATGAATTAAAAACTCATCTCATTTAATATGTGCATCTGTTCACTTGTTTTTTTGCCCCTCAAAGCTACGCTTATTTCAATCTCATAGCAAGGTGTCTCTGAAGGTGTGCCCGTCTCACCTTAACACTGATTGGAACAGGGTGACTGGTGGTTTGCGCATGGCCATTGTAGATAACATTCATGTCTTTGACAGTAAACTAAGGGAAACCAAGACAGCAGGCATGCTGCCACTGGCCCTGCTTTCACAGCTCTGAGATCAGTTACGATCTGCGCTTCCTTGCAAGCTCCAGCTAGCGTTAGCAAGTAAATGAGTTTCTGTGATTTATCATTGTACCAGAAAGGTTTTCTCCTGTTAACCATCCTTGGTCAACATGTTGACCATGATATAGAGAAGATAGAGTTTGAAAAAGTTGTACTTCATTGTCAGTACATTAACAATCAAAACTCAGAGAACTGCCGTTCACTGTTCAAGGTTCAAGGTTCTTTATTTGTCACATGCATAGTTATACAAGTATAACACACAGTGAAATGTAGCCTTTTTTTTTTTTTGAGGTATTTGGATATTAGGGCTGGGCGATATGGCCTAAAATCCATATCATGGTATAATTTGAAGCACGAGCGGTAACGATATATATCGCGATATATTCTTTTCTTCTGTATAACATATTTTCCACACTATAAGGCACACTTAAAATCCTTTAATTTTCTCAAAAATTGAGAGTGTGCCTTATGTATGAATTCTGGTTGTGCTTACTGACCTCGAACCGATCTTGGCGTGCAGAAATCTGTTAAAAAATGTACAACTTTGGTAAGCCGCACTGCTTGATGGATTGTCAGAGCATTACGGCTGCTGTGGTGAGGAGCTTCGCGGAGTAATCTGGGTCCAAAACTCCATCGACTTCAGGTCCCAAAGTCAAACGAACACTGAGAGTTAAAAACGGTCTAAATTATTTCATCTTTAATAAAATCATCAGCGTTGCTGCTTTACCAGGTGCAACAATTAAGTTTAACATCCATGAAAACAGAAGTTATTAAATTTAACGGAGTTACAAGTTAACAGGAAGTTAGCTCGCTAGTTTCCACCTAAACATGACATACCATGTTCTGAGAGATTTTTGAAACTAATTAAAACGTACAGCTCTGCTACCACTTCCAACATAAATGAAGACAGACAACTAAACAGCAGTGGCGTTTGCAGGGTTAATGAAGTTGGACTACCTGGGTATATAATGTTGTGCTACGTGATTGCTAGCAACACAGCCATGTTAGCATAACATTAGCACAGTGAAGCTGGAGGATGAACGCCAACTTTTTTTCCACTCGATGATAAAAGTTAACGTGAGGGATTCTGGTGGTTAGGGACAAATGCAATCGCATAGCAGGATGCTATACACGGGGCAAACTTCAGTCAGGAGAACAACTGAGATTATTCATCCACAATAAGAGGTTAGTTATTAATATACTGCAACAATATGGGAATAGAAGAGCTGAGAGAGAATTCAATATTAATGAATCAATGTTACAGAAGTGGAGGAAGCGCAGTTTTTGGCTTTCCCCATATTTCAAAAGTGCTTCATCTCTGTTAACATCTGTTCACCGGGATAATTTGATTGTAGCCGCTGCGATGCTTTCGACCAAAACAGGCGCAGCTTGATGACATCATCAACATGCGCTATCGCGATAGATCAAAATCTCTATCGTTGGTCAAATTTATCGCCCACCCCTACTGGATATATTTCTTTTAAATCCCAGATATGGTTGTGTTAGAAAATCAGAGTAGATCAGTTGTTCCCAAAACACTCAGTCCGGCCCTTCTGGAACAAACAACCACATTCAGAGTCAGCTTGGTCAGAACGCCAGCAGATTATCTTGACCATGTCAACGTGCCTAAATACAATAGTTGCTGCCAAGAAAATGTTTGCACTAGCAGGTGAGTCTATCATAGTGGCTGGAAAATGAACTGCAATTTGCTAAAAGGACATTTTTAGAGCTGGTTCCTTCATGTGGCACACTGCCCGTGCCTCAATGCTCTTTTTTTTTATACTTAAATTGTTATGCCCCGCCCACCGTTCGGCTGTTCTCTTACCTGCTGACTGCTTAACAGTGGGTGTGAATACCTGGCACTCATTTACCATGAAAGTAAGCAAACTTGCTAAAAGTTGTTTTTGGTTTTATAATAGTTACTTTCATAAACATAAATACTTTTCCTTTGCTCGTTTCCAATAGGAAGAGTTGCACCGGACAACTCACGCCTTTCCCACTCTACGAAAAAGGTTCATCTGCTAATGTCAGTTGGCTGCATCCACAGGTAGGTTTTTGTTTGCTGCTTGTGCTAATATGTCCAACGGAGGCTGAAGTCTTCTCTCTATTTACTGCTACTGCCTTATATTGTAACATCTAACCACTGCATGCAATAGAATCCATCTATTTTTTTAAACGTTTGCATGAGGTTGTTTTCTCTTGCTGAGCTGTTTGTATGACGATACCAGTTGGCTAATTTGCATAAAGTAGAATGGCATTTGGGACTATTTGTCACGATCCTGGGTCTTATGACCCAGTGTTTTGAGTTTTAGTTCATTTTGATGTTTTAGTTTATGTAAGCCCTTCAGGTTCCTAAGTTCATTTGTTATCATGCTTAAGTGTTTCTAGTTCTTATTATTTTCCCCTCGTGTTTCCAACTATGGTAAATCTCCCCTGCTCTTCATGTGTTTCATGTCTGTGTCTTACATTGTGAAGTTCGGGTTGTCATGTCTACGTCTCATTATGTTTCCTGTTTTATTGTGAAGAGGTCTGGTGTTTCTGTGTTCATCGTGTTCAGTTTTACTCTTCCCCTGTGGCGTTGTTATGTTCATGTTGATCTACTGTGCCTTTCTGTTCCATGTTTCAGGTCCCTATGTTCTGTCTCCCCCAGTCTGTTAAGTTCACATGTCTTGAGTTCCGTCAGTGTGTTTCCTGTTTTACTTTCACAGTCTGTTCTATGTTAATGTGTCTAGTTTTGCTCCCCTTGCCTCGTCCTGCTTAATTACTCTCAGCTATGCTCTCCTCCTGTGGCTCATTCCCCCTCGTTATCCCTCAGTGTATTTAAGCCCCATGTTTCTCTTTGTCAGTGTTGCGTCCTCCCTCATAGCTGTGTGATTTTTCCCTGTGGCTCCTTGTGCTTTAGTTTTCCCAGTTTAGTTTATTTTGTATTGTTTTTCGTGTCCCACTTCACGCCAGCAATAAAGCTGTGTTTTTTGAGTTTACCTTTTGACTCTGTGAGTTTGCGTTTGGGTCCTACTCTTGCCTGCACACAGCCGTATTGTGACACTATTTTTGTGCCAGTGTTGGGCTGAGTTGTTTAGCATTTCCCTGTAGACAGGGTGCTGTTGTTTTGGAGGTTTCCTATAGGCTTGCTATCAGTGTCAGAAAATATTGGCATTGAAAAGTGAATATTAAATGCAAACATTCACATATTTCACTTAATTTCAGGAGTAGGACAAGAAAAAATATTTCAGTGGAACCAGTGTTCATTCAGCCTTTGCCACTGTCCACTGTTAGGTTATCAGCTGTTTTGTGTTGATTATTCATGTCATATCTATGAAGACATTTTTATTGTCATTTTAATTAAATTAATAAGAACACCTGTGGCAGTGTTTAGATGTGTCTGAATCTTTTCGGAGCTGTGGACTGGTCCTTGTGCAGCGAGTCATCACAGACCATTTGACCTCAGCAGGATTTACAGAGATGCATTAAAGCTGGCGTCGGGATTGTATTTTTGTGGAGGAGTCTTTTGTTTGCGTGAACATGTGTTGTGCCAGGTTCCTGCTTGCAGGACTGATCAAGTCAGAGTCCCTGATATTTCAGCTATGCATGTTATGTGATGTGTAGATATGCATATTAAATCTGTGGATTTACATGTCTGAGCATGAGGTGGCACATTCAAGTTGGTTTCAATGCGTAACAAGAAACACTTCTTTAAATTCACTCGTGTAAAATGTGTCATGGTTTCTGGGTCTTGAACCCAAGGCTTTGTGTTTCTCTGTGGATTTAGTGAATCCTTGTGGTTTTGAGGGTCACTTGTTTTAATTTGGCTCTTTTGCAATTTTAGTCAGGCTTCTATATTTCTTTGCCATTTATTATATCCTCTGTTTGTATTCTAGTTTATCTTTTTGGTTATGCAATATTTAGTTATCGTCTTTTGTGATCCCTTTCTGTGTTCCCAGTCATGCCCCCCTTTCTGTCTGGTCTCTCTGTCTCCTGTTTGCATGGTTGTCTGGTTTCCTCTTTCATTCTGTTACTTCTATCTGGTCACTGTGCTTGTTTATCACCTGTATCAAGTTCATAAGTCTTAGTCTGGGTCTCAGGGTATGTGTTAGTTCCTGTTTTATTTTGATAGTCCTGTGTTTCATGTACTTCGTTCTGAGTTTTAGCTTCTCTGCTTAGTTGATTGACGTGATTTGTTACAGCTGTGTCGTCCCCCCCCCCCCCCCAATATATTACCTGGTGTGTATTTATTTTAGAAGTCTCTGCTGTTCTTCCCATGGTAGTGTATT